CCTCGACGGGCGTCGCTGCCCCCCCAATGTCTGCTGGGGCCGTCGCTGGCGCGACAGCGGCTACCGCCTCGGGCCCACCTTATGGCGGAAGTGGCTGGCCCTGGGCGGGGGCGGTCTGGGCCGCCGACCACCCCTGGTGCCGCCTCGCCGAAAGCTGCGCGAAGGCCGTCTGCATCTCTGTGGACGGGGCGAGCCCTGGCGGGAACGGGTTCTGGATGTAGCGTTCCAGCGACGGCGTGGTGTCATTCGCGTGCTACTTCAGGGCCTGCTCCACTGCCATCTTCTGCATGGGTTTCGAACTGCTGGGTCTCCGCCGTGAGGTCAGAGACGAGTTTGCACTGCTTCTCGTAGTCGTTGGCCAACTTGACCATCGCGTCGCAGGTTTTGTCACATTCACTCTGGGAATTGCGCGGTTTCCTCTTGGTGACTTCCAGCTGGTCGTGAGAGGATTTCCTCTGCTGGTCCCAAGGTTTTGCTGCCGACGTCGATGCCTTAATTGCTTTCAGTTATCCTACGGCCTGCGAATAGTGAGAGCCCGCGACGCCTTCCATCTTTTTGCAGAACTGGACAGCCGCCGTACACAGAGCGACTTGATCACGTGGCCATGAATCCTCGGGCGCTCGCACAGTTGCAGTTCCTTGTGATGGCCATTTAGTGCTGGGCTGCCTGAGCGCCCGCGCCACCTGTTGGGGGTGCCGTTCATGCTGTCGTTCGGCGATGACTGAGTCGAGGTGGTGGAATCCGACCGTCGGCTGATGAAGGCTGCACCGCGTTGACCACAGAACTTGAACGGCTTGTCAGCCGATTAGGAGCAGCGATACTTGCGACCTCCACCACGGCCACGGCTCTCTGGCCGACTGCCGCCCATGGCTGAGATCGGGGGACCTCCAGACTGAGTTGCGGGTCTGGAGAGGTGCGCCAGGCTGGCGCGTCGAGTGCAAGCTCAGCACCTCGACGGTCTGAGCCAGAACGGCTTGAGCCAAAAACAAAATGGAAGGGCGGAGGGGAGGGGGTGAGTGGGGGAGACGAGGGAGGAGGAGCAGCAGGAGGAGGGGTGGGGGACGATGACGGGGGAGGAAGGAGGAGGATGGAGAGGGCGACGGCCGACCACCCAAGAACCCATCCCCCCAGAACCTTCCAAAACCTCCCCTGAGACGAAGCCGGCACGAAAATCACATCGGGTGAAGATACACCGAGAATCTCTGGGATCCGGCTGATCAGGGGGATTTCTCCGGCGCCGCGGCCTTCTCAGAGCGTTCCAGAACGCTCTGGGACGGATCGATCCTCGTCTTAACCCTATCCGATCCCCCTCTCTTGGGTGCGACGGGGATTGCTTTTCCGTCCTGAGTCGCTCACACTCCAGGAAGTGAAGGAAGGCCGTGGAGGCCGGGAAAGGATAGAACCTGGGGTCAGTTTCCATCGAGGCCCATGTCCTTCATGGGTAAAATGAAGAGAGACGACACAGCACAGGTCAGGAAGGTGGTGCGATTGGCTCAAAATACGTACCACAAACTCCGCAGCATCTACCAGCCTCCGTTCCCCAAGCGACAGTTCGGGGTTCTCATCTCGAGAAGAAAGCTCCCGACCCGCCTCGCACACCCTGCATGCCACGGCAACCAGGCTCCCAAGGTCCCGGTGCTCCCTGGGTATCCCGCCTCGCGCGTCCGGCGAACGACGACTGCATGCCGCGGCCGCCAGGTCCCGAGGGGCCCGGACCTCCCTAAGGATCCCACCTCTCACTTTCGTATCCCCAGTGGATCGGAACCCGTGCGGAACAATACGAACTGTTTATCATGTCTAGCCCGCATGCGCCTGGCAATAATTACTTACATTTTGGAACGTATCTTTATCATGACTTCTAGCTCCCCTGAGAGGGGGAGGGGTAACGTTAGGGAGGAGGCGGCTCAGGGGGGGGGGAACATCGACCTGGAATCGGCGATACATCGCCAATAGATCGACGAATATCCCAGATTTCGAACCAGCACACTCCTGGACGGTGTGAGCTATCAGGCCCCCATCGGCGATCAATGGACGATCTAACGTTTCACCTGATCCTCGCTCCCCTGCCTGCCATCGCTAGGGCTTCCATTCCGCGTGCATGTTTCGGCTTCGTGTGTGCTTGTTTGCCGAGAAGTTCAAGGATGCTCCTCGATGGCCCCCGCCGTGAAAGCATGCACACGTCCGAGCGATGCCAAGCCTGAGGGAACTCGCAGAGTTGGCCGGCCGCGGCCGCGGCTGGCGGCACCACGGGCGACGACGGCACGAAGGAGTGCTTGCACTTCTCCTGCCGCGGCCGCAGCCGGCGCGACAGCGCAGCGCAACGGGCGGCCCGAAGCCGCGGCGCGCGTCCCGCGCGAGCGGGCGCGCCCTGACATCCTCTCGCAGCAGAAAAGACGCGACGCGTCTGGGTCAGGGCCCCGAAAGCCCCGACACGCTGGACCAGGACATCCAAGATCCCTCGACACCAATCTTTCTCAGGCGGGGCCACGGAGAGAAGACTGCACTGAGCACTCCTGGAATAAACCCGGACGCAGGCTCTCATAGCCTGCAAACTCCACCCTAGACCTGGACAACGACCCGAATCCTGCAGTGCAGCATACGAAATAGGCACTGCAGCCCCGCCTGGTATCATGTCGGGCCTTGCTCTTCTGGGATTCCATGTCGGGCCTGGTTTTTTTCCAGAGCCAGATTGGATCCCAGCTCGCCTTGTGGATGCCACGACCATGGACACCCTAACAAGCCTATCATTGAGTTTAACATGTGTTTCAAATGTTGGAAAAATCCTCAACATGTTTTAAACATGTTTGTACATCTTTAAAACATGGTTAACACATGTTTTAGACATCTGGAAATTATTTTGCAACATGCTAACATGCTTCCTCTCCATTGATCGACTTCCACAAAGCTCGCCCGCCACCTTTTCGTCAGGCGGAGGTCCGCCGAGAAGGCGTCAGACCTAAAAGAGCGGCCTCAAACAAACTGATAAATCCAGACCTCTGGGGATCCTCGCTGTGCGAAAAATTCACGACGTCGGGGGCCTGGGGGAGGGGAGGCCCCTCGGCCGCCCAGCGACGTCGACGCCGTCGACGGCGAGGTCGAGGGACGTCAACGGCGAGGTCGAGGGCGAGCTTCGCAGGAACGACTACTCAGGGCTACCCAACCCGATGGAGGGGCCATCGGGCCGAATCAGGCTAGATAGAGAAAGCACGGGATTCAAGCGGATTCAACCAAAAGAATGCCAGACTCAGCGTGATTCTGCCGGATTCAGCCGGCGTTCGACCATGGACATACCAGGCCGATGCTCAGTCAAACCTACCAAGAGTTGCGTTTTTAAGGCAGGGGTCCAGGGCCTCGAGCACCTCGAGGAATCAGAAGCCTCGAGGGTGGAGGGAGCGAAAGAATCAAGGGCATCGAAGAGTGAGGTGGATCAATGTGGGCGGGGGCTCGAGTTTGGACGTCTGGACGCCCGAATGGGCGCGCAAGCAATGGGAGCGGTGTCCAACAACACATGTTGTCCAACACTGACAGCGGCCGCTGTTCGGCAGGCGGCCTTCTGGCCTAAATGGACAACGCCCGCGGCGACGCCAACGTCGGTTTCGCGACAAGCCGCTTGATGACAAAATAAAAACACATTCATAACACAAGCCAACGCGAAAATGGGAGGCATCGCCAACCGCTTTCGCCTCCCGCTTTCACCTCCCGCTTTCGCCTCCCGTTTTCGCCTCCCGTTTTCGCCTCCCGCTTTCGCCTCCCGTTCTCGCCTCCCGCTTTCGACTCCCGCTTTCGCCCACCGCTGTCGCCTCTGGCTGTCGTCTGCCCTTCTCGCCTTCGTTTTCGCCTTCGCCTCCCGCTTTCGCCTTCGCCTCCCGCTTTCGCCGTCGCCCCCCGCTCTCGGCGGAAGCGGGAGGCGAAGGCTAAAAAGGGAAACGAAGATGGAAGCGAAAGCGGGAGGCGAAAGCGGGAGGCGAAAGCAGGAGGCGAAAACGACAAGCAAAAACAAAAAGCGAAAACTGGAGGCGAAAACGGAAGGCGAAAGTGGGGGGCGAAAGCAAGAGGCGAAAGCGGAAAGCAAAAACGGGAGGCGAAAGCGGGAGGCGAAAGCGGGACGCGAAAAAGGGGGTGAAAGCGGGAGGCGAAAGCAGGGGGGCAACAACGGGAGGCGAAAGCGGGAGGCGAACGCGGGAGGCGACTGCGGGGGGCCAAAACGGGAGGCAGCGGGAGGCGAAAACGGGAGGCGAAAGCGGGAGGCGAACGCGGGAAGTGAAAGCGGGAAGCTAAAGCGGGAGGCGAAACTGGGAGGCGAAAGCGGGAGGCGAAAACAGGAGGCGAAAGCGGAAGGCGAAAGTGGAAAGGGAAAGCGGGAGGCGAAAGAGGAACGCGCAAGCGGGAGGCGAAAGCGGGATGTGAAAGCAGGGGGCGAAAGCGGAAGGCGAAAGCGGGCGGCGAAAGCGGATCGCCTCCCACTTTCGCGTTTGACGGTTGTCGTGAATTTGTCTTTGTTTTGTCGTTGGATGCTTCCTTGTCGTGTTTGGGCCCTCCTTGTCGCGTTTGGGTCTTCCCTTTGACGCCGACTGCGAACCCCTGTCAACATGGACAGGAACTGCAATTAATCGTCGTGCCCGTTCTTTCCGTATCCATTTCTCGGAGGCGCGCACAAGGAGAAGGGGGGAAGACTTCGTCGAAGGAGGCTACTTTTTAGAAGGCGCGGGCCTCGTCTACAGATGTAGGACTGGCGCTTTCTAAAAAGCAGCCTCCTTTCAAGAAGCCTTCCCCCCTCCCCTATCTCCCCCTCAGCGCGTGGCCGAATTTCGGTCTTACTGATCGAATGCTCTGGTCGACCGCGAGCGAGGGGGAAAGCCCCCCTCAGCGCGTGGCTGAATTTCGGTCGTACTGATCGAATGCTCTGGTCGACAGCGAGCGAGAAGAAAATGAACAGGAGGATGCCTTCTCGGGAGGCTCTGAAATACCCTGGCCTTCTGAGAAATGTTCTAAGTCTTCCTCGAAAGCGAAATAAAACCTCTCAGAAGGCAAAAGGCCTTCTGAGAAGTCTCGCCGCCTTCCGAGAAGGCCTTCTCCTTCTCGTGTCCCCCCTCTATCGCCGCCGATCTGGGCAGCCCAGGAAAGATACTTAGACGTTACCTGCGGGCAGCCCAGGAAAGATATTTGGGAGATGCCTGCCGGCAGCCCAGGAAAGATACTTGGGAGGTGCCTGCGGAGGCAGCCCAGGCAACATACATAATATTAGGAGGTGCCCGCGGGCAGCCCAGGAAAGGCACCCAGAAGGTGTCCTCGGGCAGCCCAGGGAATCGCACTTACTTCTTAGGAGGTGCCTGCGGGAAGCCCGGGATCAAGGCACCCGGGAGGTTCGTGCTGATCGAGTGCCCGGGGCCTGCCCGGGCGGCCCGGGCCCGCCCGAGCCTCGCGCCTCGCGCCTCGCGCCCCTGCGCCGCGAGCGGGGCGCGCTCGCCTCTGCGCAGCTCCGAGCCGCCCTCCGCAGCTCTGGGCCGCGCGGGGCGGCCCTGCTCGCGCCCCTGCGGGTGGCCCGGGCCAGGCTGCAACGTGGTCTGGCAGAGAACGGATCTGCCCCATGCTGGCTCTGTTCGTGGGACCTGCGAACAGCGAGCTGAATGTCCACAGATGCGAGAGCATCGTGCGCACTCGTTCGCAGATCCGACGGAGCAAATGCTGGGGTGAACTAACTCCGCTGTCGATCTCCTTCTCGAACGCTGCTCACGCCTCAGCGCGGTCAAGTCCGCGCCTCTCTGGCGAGGACTTCGCTAAAACGGATACTTTGGCCACTGTCGGCGGCGCGCCGACGGCGAAATGGGGAGGATGGCAAGATTGCTCAGAATGTGGCGGGGCTTTGGAGCAGCCCTCGGGCCTTCTGAGGAACCCACTGTGGCACCGGAGAAAGCTTAGAAAGCCTCTCCGAAGTCCAGAGGCCTTCTGAGCTTTGTGGGAAGGCCCTCTCCCGCCCCCTCTACCTTGCCCCCTGGGCGCGCCGCCCAAGTTGGCCATCGACCCAGCCAACCTAACCCTTCCCAGCGCTGGGAATGCTGCGGTTCCCGAAAGAGACCCCAAAGGGAAACTTTCGGCGGGCTTCGAAAGCAATTACCCGTCGGTGTATACCCATCGCGGCGCAGCTGACACCGGCAATCAGGAAGGACCCCGTTTTGAATCACTCCCGACAACGCCCATGTCTGGCCTCAGCCACTCCCCCGCGCCCCCCTGGTCAAATCAAGTTTCGTGCCGGCGCCGTGAGAGAATGAACAATTCCCACGCATTCTCGGACGGCGCGGGCGCAAATCGTGACGTGATCGGCTTCCTCCCCCCCCCCCAGACCCGGTCACGCCCATTATCGCCCCTCCCGTTCACGCCCCCCTCCCCTTCCCTTCCCCCCGCGGTCACGCCCGGTATCGCCAAGGGATTCAGCGCCCCTCAAACGGGGACTCCACTAACGGGTACTTTGGCCAGTGACCCAGCGAGCCCAACCCTTCCCGATGTGGGCAACGCTGCAATGCAAGAGAAAGGCCCTAAAGTGGCAACTTTCGGCACAATTTCAAGGTACCCGTTAGTAAGTACCCGTTACGGTGCCGTTGAGGGAGAGCGGTCCCCAGAGGCCGGTGCGGTCCTGGAAAAACTTGATGAACGTCTCGCGCACGGAGGCGCCGTGCCACTTGCCTTGCGGCCGGGGGAGCGCGCGCAGAGCGGGGAGCCGCCGACGATCGCTGCGGCCGCGTCCGGATGCGACCGCAGTGGAGAGCCATCACGAACATGATATTTCGGGGATGGACAGACGCCCCTTTAGTAAAACGTGGTTTAGTGAAAACGACCTGAGGCCCAAACCTGGCGGGCGCAAGCCTGGAAAATAACGGCCACGGCGCCCTCTCGAGAACCGAAAACGGACGATTCACTAATCGACGTGTCACTGTTGGGGGTTCTGTCCACCCCCGAATATTATGCGAAACCACGGCCAAGACAAAATCCGACCGGGACAAATCGGGGACCTCTGAGTTCCGGCCACGGATCACCATGACGGTCAAACAACGGTTCGGGAAGACGAGTTGTCGGGCGTGGACTAACCAAACTGCCAAAAGAATGTGTTACCATTTTTTGAGGGGCTTCCAGAACCCGGCTCGACCAAATCATTTGAGGCACCTCCGGGGCCACGAGCAGCTCCCAAATCCGGCTCAAACAAAACTCAACATTGCAAGATCCTGAAGAATCTGGCGCTCAGGCTGAGCCCCGTTTGCGCTGAGCCCGGTTCCCTGCACGCAGGAACTGATCCCTCAAGGGCAAGCGTGTTCGCTCTTCGCGCTTCGCGAAGCGCGACTAACTTCGAGCTCTCGCGCCGAACCCCAACGAAGCGGCGAAGCGGGAGGAAAGCACAGGCATGCCAAGCATGCCATGCACCTACCCTGCTACACACACACACCCCTCTGGCGGTGAGGCAGTGCCACCCCTGCCACGCCCTGGGAGCGTGGACCGCATAGAGACCACACCCCCAGGCACCCACTCCAGTGGCAGGGACGTGCCACCTCTGCCACGCCCTAGACGGTGGGACGCATAGAGACGCCCCCCCCTGCGCAGATCCTCTGTCGTCGAGGAAGTGCCACGCCCTGGATGGTGCGACAACTACTTCTAGCACCCTCCGCGCACCCCCTCTGGAGGAGAGGAAATGTCGCCCCTGCCTCGCCCTGGGATCGCCGCACGGGTAGAGACCGCACCACCTGCGCCCCCTGCTACGCCCCAGCGCATCTTGCTTGTGCACATGTGTATGCGTAGGCCTCGGATTCGCCAAGTCGAGCCAGTCAGCAATGCCCCGCTCGATTCCGCCCCATCACACAGCAGAACCAGCGCTGGCTCCACAGAGCTAGGACCGGAACGCGTCACAGCCTAGCGACTGGAAGGCGCACGCGGGCGGTCCCCCCCCCCGTGTGTGTGTGTGTGTTTGTGTGTGTGTGAGTGTGTGTGTGTCTGTGTGTGTTTGTTTTTGTGTGTGTGCGTGTTTGTGTGTGTGTGTGTGTGCGTGAGTATGTGCATGTGCATGTTGGCGAATGTGAGTCAGTGGAGGAAAGAGGGGGGGACGGCGTCGTACGGCAACGAAGAAACACAATTCCACCCAGAATGTGGGAAATTCGACGGACCAAAGGGCCCGAGGCGTGCTAAGATTTCCGAAGACTGGATCTGTAAATTTTACTTCGCGCGCGCGAGACGGCCCCTGCGGGTCCCGAGTCGAACAAAAATCACAATCGACTCCCGGCAAAATCCCGGCAAGTTCGGCTCAGGGATGCTGGAACTTCTGGGGCCAATTTTCGGTGCCCTCCAGATCGCCCCAGGAGCGGCCCAAGGAACCTCAAGGCAGCTCCAAAAGGGCCCACGAGTCGGAATCACGGCCCAAGAGCGCTCCAAGACGCCCAAGATGGCCCCAAGACGGCCCAAGAGGCCGCAAGGAAGCCCCAAGACCGCTCCAAGAGGACCCCAAAAGAGGGCCAAAAGAAGTACAAGTTATTAATTGTCCTTGTGGTGTTTCTTTATGTTTTTCTTAGTTTTTCGGGCTTCCCACGCTGCAAGATTGCCCCAGAGGCCACCGAGACCGCTCCAAGACGTGAGGGCTCCAAAACGGCTCCAGAGGCACCCAAGACCGCCCTAGAGGGCAGACGGCCCCAAGAGGGGCCCCCCGCCCAAGAGGCCCCTAGGAGGCTCCAAGAGGCCCCCAAGACAGCCCAGGAGGCCCCCTAGAGGCCCCACGAGGCCCCCAGGAGGTCCATCAAGAGAGCCCAGGAGGCCCCGAACGGCCCCCAAGAGGCCCCCAAAGGCCATGAACGCGCAAGCAAACGTCTGCGATGGCACAATACAGGCTGGCGGAATGAGCGAAGCGATCAAATAAGCTTCCGGAGGTCTGCGCGGACCCTCTTCCCTGGCGCGCGGAGCGCGCCAGGAGCAGCGCCGGAGACGCCGCCAGGGGGGTCCAGCGCCGATCCAAGACATCGTCGGCGCGGATCTCTGGAAGTCTGTGTTCGCTCCGCTTTATGTTCTTCGCGGGGGCGAATGCGAGGACGGTAACGACGAAGGTGGCGACGACGACGACCGCCGCGCCTTGTCCCGGAGGAGGGTATACCAGCTATACGCCCACACCGATCAATCCTGGCCAAACTCATACTAGGCCGAAGATCGGTGTACGGTAGGTTCGTGCGGCGTCGGTGTGCGCAACGGTTTTTGACACCGCCTTGATCGTTCAACCTTGAATCGATCGCGGCCCCGGTCATTCAAAGTTGAATCCCGTCGGGTCCAGTGGCGCCACCGTGTCCCTCGGTGCTGACGCACCGCAGAAGATGACCTTGAACGCTTGCGCAGGCGTCGCAGGCGCACCATCGCCGCGTGAACCTAATTACCGTACACTCAAGACAAAAGACCATCTTTCAAGAACACGAGACCCTCCGCTGGCCAACCTGAAGAACATTCGAGGGTACCCTCCCCCAGGATGCATGATGACATCGAACAAATACGAACAACACTAGGGCACCCTCCCCGAACAGACCTCGCTCTTACACCTCGGTCCGACCGTAGAGGGACAAGAAATGGCATACACATAAATTGTTGGAGGTCCGCGCTGATGTCTTGGATCGGTGCTGGATTCCCCTCCCTTGCGCGCGGAGCGCGCCAGGGGTGGCGCCAGAGGCGCCGCCAAGGGGCTCTGGCGCCGATCCGAGGAATCCGAGGGTACCCTGGGTTTCTTAATAAGCGTGGGGGGTCCCTCCCCTGCGGGGGTCAACCTCGCCTCGTCGTCGCGCTGCGACGGGGGGCGGAGCGCCTTCGGCGCGCGGTGGCTGCCCGCGACGGGGGTCGATGTGGGGCTGTCGGCGGGGGTGACGCCCCCCGACGCTTACTAGGAACTCGGAATGCCCATATATCAGGTCCTTCCCTCGTTTTCCCCGTTTTGGGCCTCCTCGGACGCCCTCGTCGCCACCGGTGGATTCGCATCGAAGTCCTGGTCAGAACGCACCCCAGGAGAGGTCAGCGGATCAGCGGTATCGGTATCTTTTGGTTTCCCCAGACATGCAATCGATCCCGCATGGGGGGCACCTGCGGGTGCAGCGGGTAAGCGTCGGGCGCCGGCAAAAGATGGCCTTCCGGCTCAAAGGCTGGAAATGGGTCGAAACCAGAATCGAAGAGATAGGAACGGGTGCCGGAGTTGTAGATATGGGGGCCAGACTCAGAAAAGTGGGGCCTCAAATCCGAACATCGACAGAACTGTGCGCCGGAGTCGGGGACATGCGGGCCCGAGTCGGAGAGATGGGAGCCAGAGCCGGAGAGAGGGAATCGGCTTGAACTGGCCCAGCTCAACGCAAACTGGGCTCAACCCTCTCAAGCCCGGCTCAGCCCAAATCCGGCGTTCCAGCCCTGCAGTCTCCGGCGCTCTGGCTGAGCCCGCTGGCCTCCGAGACCGGGCCATTGGAGGTTGCCTCGAGGCCGCGGAACATGCCTGCGCACGCGCAGAGCCCTCGGAAGCAGCCGCCTCGAGGCCGCCGAATGACCGCGAACGCGGAGTGCCCTCGGAGGCGGCAGCCGGAGGCTGGGCGGCTGGCGGCGGCGGCGGCCAACGGGGCGCCCACGGGCTTCTTCTTGGAGGACGAGGACGCCGTTGGGAAGTCACCCTCCTCTGCGCCAGACAGCACGCAGGCTACGCCTCGGGCTGGGGAGGGAGGGGGTGGGGGGGCAGAGGGGACGAGAGGGGAGAGGGGGCGAGCCGGGTGGGCTCGCGCCATATCCGAAATCCTGCCCCCCCCTCACCAAACCCTTCACATTGCGCTGAGGTTTCTACATCCGCCGACGGGTGTCATAGCGGACCTGGAACCCACAAAATGACCCCAGCGTGTTACGTATGCGCAAGCAGACGTGGGAGGGGAGGAGTAGGGGGGAGCAGCGAGGAGGAAAGAGAGGAGCAGGTTGGAGGAGGGAGGAGGGGAAGGACAGGGGGAGGGTGAAGGGGAAGGGTGAAAGGCAAGGGGGTACGAGGGGTGACGAGGAGGGATGAGGAGCAGAAGAGGTGCACAGAAGCAGGGAGGAGTAACTAACAAGGGATGGACAGCGCGGCAGGCTCCCCCTCTTCCTCTTCTTGTTACGTTCTCTCCTCCTCTTCGTCATGCTATTGTTTTGTGTGTTCTCTCTGTCTCTGTCTCGCTCTCTCTCGCTCTTCCTCTCCTCTTCCTCCTCCTCCTCCTCCTCCTCCTCCTCCTCCTCCTCCCTATCATGTCCCTGTTCTCCTCCTCCTGCTCCTCCTCCTCCTCCTCCTCAACCTCATCCTCCTCCTGCTCCTCCTCCTCGTCCTCCTGCGCCTTGTCCTCATTGTACTGCCGCTACTACAGCTCAACTTTCTCCTCCCCCTCCTGCTGCTGCTCTCCACCTCCTCCTCCTCCTCCTCATCCTCCTCCTCCTCCTCCTCTTCCTCGACGTCCTCCTGAACGTCCTCCACCTCCTCCCCCTCCTCCTCCTCCTTCTCCTCCTCCTCCTCGGCAAATCAATTGAGACACCAATGACTTTTCCGTCAAGCCCAAATCCGTTCCAAACGAGCTCCCTGAATCCAGCCGTGACGTGGACGAGGCTTCCAAAAAGCCCCAAACACTGTTTGGCAAACAAGACGAAATACGCCGGAGAGGTTCGGCTTCTACCGGCCCGGGTCAGTGCAAGCCCGGGACAGTCAGGCTTTACAAGATCCTGCGCGCTAGCCCCGGTCAATACAAGCAACCCTGGCTTTGCAGGATCCTGCAAGACCCGGCGCTCTGGCCGACCTCCGCTTCCATTGGACCAAATCTCTACCCGCTCGACGTCCGCGCTTGTCTCGACCGGCACTCCCCTGCTGACCGCAGGCCGAAGCTGCGCACACCGCGGCTCCGCTCCGACCACACATCGGCAGAACAGAGAATGCTGTAGAGTTCATGCAAGGAGGGGGAAGAGGAGAAGGAGGAGGAGGAGGAGGAGGAGGAGGAGGAGGAGGAGGAGGACAGACAGAGCCGCCGCGGGCCTCAGTCTGCAGAGCGGGTTCAGGAACCAGCTGAACACCCACGGGGGAACAAAAAAGACGTGCGCCGCACGGGCGGGCCGAGAGGCGGCCTGCCTCGGCCAGCCCGGGCGGTGCCGCCGCTCCCCCCTCCGTTCCCAGATCCGGCCTGCCGAGGCCAAACGGAAGTCGCGCCGTGGGGAGCTCGCCCCCGCACTCGACGGGCGAAGCCGGCGCCTCGAGGTGCGCGGGCGGGGAGGCACTCAGCCAAGAGCCCAGCGCGCCCGTCAACACTGCAGGGGCCGCGCCACAAAGAGTGCCCAATCATGCCTCTCGAACTGGAGGGTGCCGCTCAACGGTGACACATAGCCAAAAACCACCCAGCAGCATCGCACTAATTGCGACGATGCTCCCGGATCCGGGCGTCGTGGATCAACCACGACAAGTTTGAACGACCTCCGTTGTTCGTTCTCCTCCTCGTCGCATTCCCTTCCGCCCTGGCCACAACGCATGGGCGGCCAGGCGCCCAAGGGCCCCCTCGGGAAGCGGGCACTGGATTTGGAAATTAACAAGCTTCCAGATTGGGCATTCCTGAGGCATGATGGCTAATCAGCTTCCAGCTTAGATACTAACGAGGGGCATGGCGACCAACCAGCTCGGGCACTCATGAGGCACAAAATGTCTCACGATTCAGCACGGATATGAACGAGGGGCACGCCGACCCCAATCGCCCGCCTGACTGGACAAACAAAGGTCTCAACTCAGGGATATACGAAAGGGAAGCGCCCATCCTCGATGGGGCTGCGTCCGGACAGCCCCCTGGGGGTGTATCCCTGAATTGCAATTCTTTCACGGCCAGACTTCTGAGGGAGAGCTCGGGGATTAGGGGCGAGGCATCGCCTGCAGCATACGCGTATATTCTGTCCACCAGCCAACCAGAACACACAGCAGCATTGCTTGTACCACTCCCGCGATATGAATGGTTGTGGCCGTTCTGGGCCTGTGCGCGCGCGTAAACCGAGGAGCGCGAATCAACCGTCCCCTCAGGGGAACAATGCGAGGGGACAAAGCGTGCCCACGCGGGGAAGCCGATCACAGTCGTGAGAGAACGAGGCGGGGTAAAATCTAGAGGAGTGCCGCGTAAAGTTCAGCGGGCCGCCAGAGCGGCGCCTCCCCACGAGCGCGGGAGGGAAGGCGGGTGGGGAAGGCCGCCAGTGCGGCGCTCTCCCGGGAGGTGGAGGAAGGGGCCCTGAGAGGGCCCGCGTGGGCGACCGTGCGCGCGGGTGTTGCAGCGGGAGCTTCGCGGTGCTGAGATTTACAGCACGGCAAGCTCACCGACGCTGTTGCATCCTTGATGCTTCTTGGGCCGTCATGGGCTCCCGCGAATCGACTCTATCAGACTTGAGGTGTGAGGCGGCATTCGAAATTGATCACTTCCTCTCCAGAACAAGAGACGGAACATCGTCATCCCTCAGAGCGGGGTAAGTTGTGGACGATGGACAGACTGGCAGAATAAGCGTGAAGTCCGTACCACTCATATAAAGAAGCATGGTAATCTGGCCATGATCCCGAAGCCTACGGCGGGTTCGTGCCGTGACGGCTTCAGCGCTGGATTCTGCCACTGGTTAAATCGTTCAACCTTGAACGATCGCGGCTTCGAGACACCGCAAACCATTCGATGTCGGCAGATTCCTGGCCACGGCGGGCTTCTTCACATTTGCTTTCGAACTGCGGGAACCGCCGACGACCTCCCCACCCTGACGCTCTTTTCCGCAACTGCGGGGGGGCTATGGAATCTTTTGCAAAATTCGCCACCGTGACTCGAGGCACTGGGCTCCTTCGACTTCCTGAGAAGAATGCTGCGAGAAAAATTGGCAGTGGCCCGGACCTCCGTGTGCCAGACGCTTTCGGGAGCTACCAGGTGCCCTTGTACACTGCCAGCCAGGACTCCCAGCATGTCTGTTATGAAATTGGACACGAACGCCAGGGTTGAACGAAGGTCTGAGGTCTCGCGGCGCGGCGCAGAGCGGAGGGCCTGACACGGGCTGCCTGCCCGTCTCCGCCAGAATCGGTCCACCAGGGCCCCTCCTGGGGTCCATCTTGGTAAGATGTTCCACCCTGGATGCATGTTCTGACGGTCTAGGGCCCGAGACTAGAGGCCTCCCGAATGGGGTCCGAGCATCAGGGGTCGGACGATCGGGCCGCATCGCCGATGCATTGGCGACGTCGGCATGGAGAAACCCGGCTCTACATTGAGCTGCATCGCCGATGCATAGGCGATGCGGCGCGATCCTCCGACCCCGTATACGGCGGGCTCTTGTCGTGGCAACTTGCGCAGTGGTCTCTGAGGACAGTGCAACCCACCCCCACCTTCAACGGGACCTCCACACCCGACCTGGTGATCCAGAGGTCCTGGTTGGGGGTGGGGTGGGGGTTATAGAGGGTTCTTTGGGGGGCTCCTGAACCCCCCCCAGCCCCGGCCAAAGGGGGGGGACCAGGGCAAATCCGCTCAACTCTTTCCCTCGACCTCCCCCGAGGTCGAAACTGCTTAGCTTGTCGAGCCGCGTCCAACTGGTGGCGACGCTGGCCAGAACCCACCTCAGCCCCCCAGCCGGCTCCAGCCATCATGAGCCTACAGCCAACCCGTATAGCAAGGCGCACGACTAGGATGCAAGGGCCTTGGAAGGCCATGCCGACACTTTGCGAGCGGGGCACAGCCAGTGAAAGCGGCCAGGGATGGGCCGAAGTGGAAGGATGCGAGGGCAATCTTGGAAAATTGCTCCTCCCTCCTGTGCGGACTGACTGTGCCCTACCTGGACCCCGTCTGGGAGGCCTGGAGGCACTCGCACACGGAAGCTGGGCTCGAGGTCAGAGCACCACCGGCGCGGCTCGACTCTCTCGAAGAGGGCGCGGCGCGCAGAGAGTAGAGGGCGCGCCCCCCAAGGGCCTGATACGGGCTGCATGCCCGTCTCCGCCAGGTACCCCGGCGTCAGCGCCATGCGGACGTGCCTCCCAGGGTCGGAGGGCGCCAAGCATACACCCAACACCGATCCTGACCGGGCGATCCTGGACCCAGAATCGGTGAACATTCGCCCTGCTGGTCTGGCCAGGAAGGCCTGCGTACACGCCGGCCAAAGGCTGGGCTGGCCAGGACAGTCGGCCCACTCGGGGGATGTTGGGGCAGGCTCGAAGGGGACGAGGAGCGTGGGGAGGAGGAGGACGACACGCCAGAGTGGGAGGAGAGCAGCGGGAGGAGAGGCAGAGTGGGACTTAGACGAAGACGACGACGACGGAGCAGTGGTCGCGGAGCGTGAGGGGCCTGTGCGGCCGCCCCCCCGTTCTTCGCTCGAAAGGTGGGGCAGTGACCAGAGAGGACGCCATTACTATTGTGGCCCTCGTGCTACCTGCTGGCCCTCGGAGACCTACCCACAGAAGCGCTGGGACAGGAGAAGAGGACACGGGCATCAGTTCTCCGCTGGCGAGACGCGGAGGGCGAGAGCGCCGTGCGGTCGATAGAGGCTTCCCAGACGGGGTCCGAGCAGATGGGGTCGGAGGATCGCGCCGCATCGCCGATGCATCGGCTACGTCGACGTGGAGAAAATCGGGCTCCACCACACCAGGCCGTATCGCAGATGCATCGCCGATGCGGCGCGAACCTCCGACCCCATCTGCTCGGACTACATCTGGCAGGTCTGGATCTTCCTCACTCCTTACTCCTCACTCCGAAATCCTCACTCCTCCTCCTCCTCATGCAATTTCTCCTCCTCCTCCTCCTCCTCCTCCTCCTCCTCCTCTGAGAGGCCCAGAGTCGTGCCTTTCAGGGGTGGAGCCCCAAAGGGGGCCCGTCCGCCGCGCTCCGAACAGCTCCGTCGGCCCCGCCGCGTGGCCTGCCGCCGCCCCCGGGGGGGCAGGGACGCCCGTCCCAGGGCGGCTGCAGCGCCCGATGTGCCGCCCGTGGAGGGAGGAGACGTCCCGTCTGCCCGGGGACAGACGCCCCCGGCGACGGGACTCGCCGGTCGCTCGAGTAGGAGGGGATGGGCTACAGAATCGACTTACCCTGAAATTGACTTCCTGTCGAATCTGCGAACTATACCTACAGTGTTCCGTAGATCTACTGCGCATTCTATGTATTGTCACAGGGGTTCGAAGAGAAAATCAATTTGGGGTAGATAAATTCTGTAGTCGATCCCCTACTCGAGATGTTCGCCCGCTGACTTTTGGGCCTCGGCCTCGCTTGGATGCACGAAAGGCGCTGGAGGAAATGCGTCAGAAGGAGCCAAGCAGCATCGAGCGCCTTCCGAAACCAGAGACCCTCGGAGGCCTCCCGGAGGGGCCCACAAGGGGGTGGGCTTCTAAGACGCCGGCGGGGCGCCCGAGAAAGCAGGGGACTTCGTAGACGGCCCTGGAAGCTTCACTCTGGAGCTTGAAATTCGCAGCAGACTCAAGGATGGAGGGCGGGTGGTTTTCAAAATGTGGCTATCGCCCCAGCGCAGCGCACTTTCGTCTTAAGGTCTGAAACCGAAAGACGGAGGTAGGTTGATTTTCAAAATGGAGATCTCGCCTTACCACCGCGCACATTCGTCTTAGAAGTTTGCAACAATCTCAAAAACTGAGGGCGAACCGTCCATTGAGCAGCGCACGCGCGTTGTAAACTCTTGCAGCAATTGCAAAAAAGGGCGGACCGTTTTCAACATCCCGCTCTCGCCTTAGCGCCACGCGCATTCGTCTTACACGTTTACAACAGTTGCAAGGGTGCGTAACATTGAAGTCCCTGTAATAATGTTCTGGCACATGTAGGATGGCCAGGACGCAAGTGTCACGTTGATCCCTAGTGCTGAGGTCCCAAGAACGGTGGTCAGAAATGATTCATTCTTGTGAAGGCGCATAATTCCATTGATTCACAGCGTTGAGGTTTCAGGAATTGTGTTTTGGAACGAGTTCGGATTCTAAAACGGTTGTAAATGCGGCCCTCCCCGTAATGACAATCAATTAGTGTAGGGACCTGTCAAAAAGGAACTTAGAGGGAGGTCGCATAGGAGCGCGTTCCTTGATGTTCGGCGATAACGGGCGTCATGGGGGGGGGGCGGGGGGGGTATGACGTATTCCCCCCCCGCGCCGTGTGGCTCCGGCACCACAGCCGCGCCCGCCTGTGTACACCACAACGCTCTCGTGCACCACAACGCGCCTCTGCACCACAACGCCTGCGCACACCGCAACAACCGTGTGCAACGCAGCGCCTGTGTACACCACAGCGCTCGCTGGTGGTCACGTGTGCACCGCAGCAACCATGTGCAACACAGCGCCTGTGTACACCACAATGCTTGCGTGCACCGCAGCACATGTGCACGCCACAGCGACAGTCTACACCACAGCATCTGCGTGCAACGCAGCGCTGCTGTACACCACAGTGCCTGCGTGCATAGGACAGGTAGAAGAAGCATGTACGCGAGGATCTGCTGCGGACAACAAAGCGCCACGTCAGGAAAATGCTGGTAATGGAATGCGACGTTCTTCTCTCCTCCCTCCTCCTCCACCTCCACCTCCTCCTCCTCCTCCTCCTCCTTTTCCTTATCCTCTTCCTCCTCCTCCTCCTCCTCCTCCTTACCCCGTGTCGTGCGGGCTGGCGCTACAGCGCACGTGCGCAACTCAGCGTGCACCGCAGAATGGTCTATTGAATCGGTCCACATGGTTATCGGACGGCCAGTGTACTTGGCGCCTCCTGGACGCAGATGGGAGGAGTTAGGGTGATGCGGGCGGGAAGACTCGTAGATTCCAGCGGGGCTCCTTAGTCCATAAGGATTCCTTTCTATTGTTTCCTGTGGTTTCCACAGGCGCTCCATTTTGTAATACGGATTCCTTTTGACATTCTATATGCAGCAGTGGTGCTGTGTTGCACACGTTTGCTGTTGTGCACACAGGCGCCGTGGTGCACACACGCACTGCAATACACGCAGGCATTGTGGTGTACACTGGTGCTGTGTTGCACACGGTTGATGTGGTGTACGCAGGTGCTGCCGTGTACACGAAAGCTGTTGCGCCCGCAACCACGGTGGCACAAAGTGACGTTGTGTTGCACGCGGCTGCTGTGGTGTACATAAGCGGTGTGGTGTACACAGGCGCTGTGGTGCACGCAGGCACCGTGGTGTACACAGGCGTTGTGGTGCAGATCGCCACCTACATGCTGGTGCTACCCTCGTCCTCCATCATTCCTAGGCATTCCCAGACGCCGCCTGCGCGAAATGTGGCGCCATCGACCCCCTCCCCTCCCCCAAATGATTGCTGTCTGCGGACCAGACTCCTATGCGGATTCCTACGCGGACACCTACGCGGATCCCAATGCGCACGGCGGCGGTGCCCGGAGCGCACTGGGCGGGGGAGCGTTATGTCATAGTGGGGGGGGGGGAGCCGGGGCCATGACGCCCGTCATGCCCCAAGCAAGAAAGAAACGGGCTCTAGCAACATCTTTGATGCGTCGTGGGTTTACACTGGTCCTCCTGCTCCTCCTCCTCCTCCTCCTACTTCCTCTACTTCTCCTCCTCCTCCTCCTCCTCCTCCTCCTCCTCCTCCTCCCGTCGGCCGACGCACCAAAGAGGAGGTCGAAGAGCACCTCTCGGAGAACAGGGCAAAGGGGCAGCCGGAGCGGAGCGAGATGAGACAACAACAGCTCAAAATCGACTCCCCAGTGGACCCCTCCCAGGGTCCAAACGCACCAATTCTCCGAGCTGCGTACCGTTATCTCAACTCGCCCTCCTCTGACGGGGTAGAACGGCTGCAAGGCCGATGGACTAGAGCCTTTCCGGTGCAAGAGTACGGGGTCACGCCATTGGAAATGGGCGAAGGGCGCCACGGCCCAGTGCAGCCGTCATGCTACCACGAGGAACACAACATGGTATCTGGTGATCCTTTACGCCGTCATTTGTAGTCACTCGTCCCTTCTCTGTATTGTTTTCCTTCCTTGTTTGGTATACAAAGAGCAAAAAACTGAAAACAAAAACCATCGAAGGAACACAAGGAACCGCGCTTCGGGCTTCCCGCCGCGGGAAGCGAGGTATCCATTATTTTCGAACTCCTCGCGAGGCCCACATGGAGAAGGGCGACTCCTCCAGCATACAGTCGTCGTGCAACCATGAAGCACGCTGAACAAAGATCGATGTTTCTATTTCTGGTCACCGTGGCCCTCCGCCACGAAACAGGTTCTCCGACCCTGATCCCAATGAGTGGCACAAAGACCATAGGCCCCTCCTGAACCCAGAGGGGCTCCTTGCTTTAGCGTCTTGACGTGCACTTTCGGGCTGCGCAAAGACACAGACTGGAGTCAGGACACAATCACCTGTAGCCAGCGTGCTACTAGAAGGAACGCATAAGAAGGAACGGGGGCTCTTTTCTGGCCACGGCGGGCCTCGGCCACAGACAAATTCCACGGCATAGATCCAAAGAACGGCCCGGAAACTCGAGCCCCTCCTGAGCCCGAAGCAGTCCTTATTTCAGCGTCTTGACTGGGTACCTTCTCCCACGCATCTCATAACACAGGCTAATCCTCGAGGGGGGGACCCAAACGGCCCCCAAGAGGCGTCCAAACTGCCTCCGAGAGGACCCCGAGACGCATCCCACGAGGTCCCAACGAGCATCCAATAGGCTTCAGACCCACACGGTGGCGGGATGGGCCAGAGGCCATTCGATCCGCCGCCCCCTGTCGATTCATCGCAAGGGTGCCTGGCGTGCTGGACCCTCTCGGTTTTGGTTTTGGTTCTTTTTACAAAAGAACTCTCCCAGTGGGTTTCGGCCCGTCCCGCTGGGGTACCGGGAGGATTGCCCAGGAGCGCAAACTCCACGACAAATCCTCCCTGAAACGGCCGTCTCGCTCGGGACATCCTCAAAAACTCGCGAAGATGGCCCAAGATGGCCTCCAAGTTCGCCCAAGATGGTCCAAGACTGCCTCCAAGACGGCCCAAGAGAGTTCAAGACGGCCCAAGACGGCCAAAGAGGCCCCCCAGAGGCC